GAGAGAGAGAGAGAGAGAGAGAGAGAGAGAGAGAGAGAGAGAGAGAGAGAGAGAGGAAAAAGTGTGTGCCCGCACCAAAAGTGTCTCTCCAGTGCGATAATGCCTAGTCCCTGGCAGAGCCACTGACTGCTTTTTGCACTCTCAGTTGGTCGGCTTAGCAGAGACACTGCCGCGCGAAGACACCAGTGTTAGTGTTTGCCAGTATCGTCTTCATTGGGGAGGCGCACAAGCAAATGATTAATCTAATCACGGCAAGTTGGACTTGGCCAAAGAACTGCCAGAGGAAAGAGAAACAGAGAAAGAGAGGGTCGAGCCAAAAAGCAAACGACTACTCTTTTCCTCTTTCTTCTTGTTCTTTGCGCGCTCTCAGTTTCGTATAAATCATCAAACATTAATAGATTTTGCAAGAGTCATTTTTTGCCTGTACTCATCCGGTTGCCACTGCATGCCACTGCATGCCACTGCATGATACTCTCTCACTTTCCTCGTCTGCCATTTTTTTGCCACAGTCTGCTTGACTACCCTAGCCTTAGTACTCTTTCCTGTCTGCTACTGAGAAAGAGTGCCGTCTTGCCTTTTCGCCTGGTCCAGTGATTCGCCTGCTTGCCGGCGGCCCCGTCTCCTGCAGACAATGGCCGCACTGTCTAAGGAGACCGTAGGAGGCTTTGCTGGGCTCAGTGTCAGTCTCTCGCTCTTTCTTGTAGTGAAAAGCCGCGATGGTTGGTTGATTAGCTAATATCGACTGGTGCGCACTTGGTCGACGCTGGTCGGCCTGGCCCCTGGCCTAATCGATGCTCCAGTGGCACCACTGGCCGATGGCTTCACTGCACTGCATATCCTCACACTTGTGTTGTTGCTCATTGCACTTGGCCCGTGCCCGGTGCAGGCAGAGCTTGGCTGTGCTAAACACAGGCTGAGGACAGAGAGACAGAGAGACAGACAGTGAGAGTGAGTGAGGCAGCAAGTTTTCCTGCCAAGTGAGGGTAGAGAAGACACGCCAACTGACGTTATCGGCTGCGAATGAATGATTAAGCCCACCAGTTTCTCCCGCTGTTGCTTGCAGCTGCCCTCGCTCTCTTCTTTCCCAATGCTCACCGAAGCTCACGATGCTGTTCGGTAGTGAACTCTCTTTCTCTCTTTCATTCTTTTTCCTTCCTTTATTTTTTACTTTTATTCTCTTTCTCTCTATTTCATTCTCAAACTTTCTCACCACTCTCACTGCCCAAAGTTATTTGCCATTATTGCTTGCAAAAGTTTACATTTTTTGTTTGATTTAAAATCTCCTGGATAAAATCATGAACGAGTGGGTAAGTGTGAGTGAGGAAGCGTGTGTGGCATGGAAGGCATAGAGGGCACTAGAAAGCAAAGTAGTGGCTTCCAAGTAGTGGTTATGCCTGAGAGATGAGAAATGAAACTACTAAATTATATGGAATTGAGCCATTCTGCTAGGTTGACTCGACTTCCATTTTAGGCATCGCACTTTGCCCGTGATCTATTTATCAAGATTGCCCCGTTCTAATGCTTGGATTTACAGTTGAATGCAGTGCACGATGAACTGAGGGTGCAACTGAGAGTCAGCAGAGACAGAAGAAGAGAATGCCGGTCAGAAGAGAGAGTGCACAGAAATGGTAATTATAGTGAAAGTGAAATGATCGAACATGGCACTGGAAAACTGCACCAAACTAAACTGTATTGTACTGAACTGCACTGCACACCCTAGACACCGAGTGGCAGCCACACACAGTGTGCCCAATTGATGCCCAAGTCTGGCAGTCAGCGAATCGCCCCAGTCGAATATTCATGCAAACGATAGATTAAGAGGTTTCGCCGCACTGACTTAATGCTCCACAGCAGCATCGTGCTGGAAGAAAAGTAAAAGAGAGAGAGAGAGAGAGATAGAGAGAAAGAGGGAGCTCAAAAAGCTCAAATGGCTCGACGGCTTTCAGCCTTGCACTCACTAATGGCGCTCACTCGCTAAACTCGATTCAAATGCTCAACGAGGCAGGCAGCCACGCAGAGCGCGCGACACGTTTGCACCGCCGAATCAGAGCAGCAACAGCAGGCACGATGCAAAACAAACAGGGAGAAAAAACAGCAGCAGAACATTGATGGTGACTGAATCCATTTCGAATAATTACGATGATTGCCTGTGACAAGAAAGGCCGATCATTAGGGGCAGTTTGGGCTAGTGCATCAAGGCACTAGTAGCAGAAGCAGCAGATGAAACTGCCACTGCCACCATCATCAGCATCAAGTCATCAGCATCTTCTCCGCCTCAAACTCAGCTTCTTCTACTACTACTGATGCCACTATCTCTTGGCGCACAAGATCGCACTGCACGCGCCATCAAGTGAATCGGCAAAGTGGAATTCGATTGGAAAGTAGCAACAAATTGAATGCGAGCAATCAAGTAAATAGAGGCTCCGCTCGGTGTCGGTGGCAGTGTGTGTGCTGCAACAGCAGAAGCAGCGGCGGCGGCGGCACTTTAGGCGCAGCAACCACCGCCGGATGAATCGTCCGAAAAGAGTCAAAAGAGGAGAAAAGAAGGAAAGCTGTTCTGGCTCCGTACTGCCTCTGTAAGTGTATGTGTGTCTGAATCAGTCTGTCCGGGCACTTTCAGCAGGCGGGTAAAAACTTTTCATTTTAAAGTTGCCTGCTGATGGCTTTCTCGCTCCCTTTTTCCTCTTTCAGGAGAAAAAGAGTAGTTTTGTGAATGAGTGCTGCTGCGATGATTGCCGTAATAATCAAACAGACAGCCACACCGTCACAAAGCGATTCAATCAATCGGTACAGCGGCAATGAGCTAGCAGTGGGTGCAATGAGTGCCACTGCAGTGTCCCAATGAACAGGGTAAAATAGTGCTGGTTCGGGATGGAAAGGGAAAAAGAAGAAGGAGAAGGAGAAAGAGAGTACAAGTCGTTACCGTGATTGCGGCAGATGACGAGAGGCTCGCCGGGTGACGTGCTCATGCGATTGTCGCCCTGTCAGCCTTTGTTAATGACGTTCACTATTCCGGTGTGCCACCGTAATGGAGATTGGCTGAAGCAAAGGCAACAACAGCAGCAACCATTGGCGGCCATTCGCCAACGTCTGAAGCCGACCACCACCACCACACTAGTACCACCAGCAGCTTCAGCAACACAACCACCAGAGCCAACCACCATCAAAGCTCTCCAGTTGCATTCAGAATTGGCTGCTGCCGCTGCCGCTGCTGCTGCTTTAAATTCACCAACACTTGCCAAGCGGACAGAAGCCTACAGCTGCAATGAAGAGAGTAAGGGAAAGGAAAGAGTAGGAAAGCTCAGTGCAAACATCATTTGGGCAATAGGCATTTGTGCAGTGTGTTGAGTACCGCCTGGCTGTGTCACATCAACGGCACTGGTGTGTGAGCCATTTCGTCGCCACCAGTGAAGGCAACTGAAACAGCAAAAAGTAAAAGAACGCAACATCAGCAGCAGCAAAAGTAATGACACGCGCATCCATTCAAGAATGGCTGCAAGGCGACTGCACAAAACGGCGGGTAGATCTTGAGTACACAAACAGACACACACACACACACAATTAGGATGTCCCACTGCCGGCAAGTGCATAAACATTAATAAATAAATAATAAATTACGTCTCTTAGGATGATGATCAGGGCAATCAGGAGTTTACTTCTTTACTTATTAGTTCAATCAATTTATGGCACAAGTGTCTCTTTTCCTTTTCCTTTCTCTCTTTCTGTGCACAATTTACCATCAGCCTCTCTTCAGCCATCTCTCGTCTGTTGTGAGTCTTTCTTCTGCCACTGTAGGCAATTCGTCTCTTTATATTATTATTTGTTGCTTGTCGCCAGTCTGCCTTCTCTGGGTGTCACAGCGAATGGCAGAATGGCTTCAGCGGCCCGCATTTCAGCAGTGAATTGCAGTGCAGTGCAGCATTCTGTCGTTTGGTGCAGCTGTGCCCTGCCAACGGAAACTGCCTGCTGCTCAATGCTGCCTCGCCACTGCTGTTGCTGCTGGAAGCAGCCCTGAACACCCCAGTGATGCCAATTGGAAATAATTTCTGCATCACTGTTCATTGCCAAGCAAAGGACAAAAACACATGGCCCAGACGGCCGCACACACATACTAACTTGCGTGTTGAAAATTAAATTTAAAGCACTGCATCACTGGCGAGACTAACTGCTGCCGACACTAGTGAAAGCGCTACATGTGGACAAAGGTCTCGCG